GACATGACACATTCTGGAAATCACATCATTTGCAGATGTATGGGTAAACTTCATTGTACAGAAACATTGCTATTTTACACAAGTAAAGTGACGTACAACTATTCACTTCTCTGTCCAGCTTGTTGGCAGGTGCAGTCTGCTTTCCCCACTGTAGGTGGTTCCTTGTCCCGAGTGGAGCTGCAGCTTGAGAGTCAGGAGAAACCTGGTTTCTCTATGGTTTCCTGGCCCCTGGAGGCTACACTGCATCCGACTTCAGGGGCCAGCTTGGGTCAGCACAGCCTTTTTAAGTGCCTGCCCCCCAGACTGTGGTGTGCATTTGGTGAGCGGACAGTGTAGGGTAAGAGCACCTGTCAGGGAAAGTGATTAACATCAGGAATAGGGACAGGCTAAGGACATGCCATCCTGCATCAGAATCCTCCTCCTTGGGCTCAGACAGGCCAGGCCACAATCTGCACTTGGAAACAGAAGCTGTCAGTGCATCTTACCCACTCTATTCTGCAAGCTGCACCGAACTATGAGTGTTCCACAGAGTGACGCTCTCCTGCTCAGTACTTTACATACTTGGGGCCATTTCTACAATAAAAGCATTGTTATTTACATTAACTTCACTATAACTTTATTATTTACAAGGACTTTGTGTGTTTACTGCCACAGCATCATACTGCACCTACCCACAAGTTGTCCGCCCCTACCCCACCGCCTGGTTACCAGGGCACGTATAAATGCCATGCTTTTTCATGCTATGAATTTATTTTATTCATAAAGACATCCATTTGCATGTAGTCCAAGGCAATGTAGTCAACAGCCACCATTAAGAAACCATCTTGTCTTGGCCTGGCTTAACTGACACCAGTGGCTTGCCATACTTTGACCTTTACTATTTGCACATTTTAATGAAAAAGTACAAACATTTAAAAAATTTTTTAAAAAGTGTTAATTATAAAGTACATGTTAGGTCTCAATTTTTCCTTTGTGTGACAGTTTTAATATGTGAGGAATACAAACTGCTGGCAATGCTGGTTTTTAGAAAAAGCGTTTTCCCATGTTTAAAGAAAATGTTCCATGACTCGCTCTATTCTATTATCCATGTTGAAGACAGCAGTAATTATTTAATTATGGACTAACATGACAAGAGTTAGTGTAGTTACAAAGGGACATGTGACTTGCCTAATCTAGCATATCTAAACCAATCATTTATGGAGTTCATGCAGAGAGCAAACCAAACATTTCTGAAATGAGTCAGCTGCCATGAAAAAGTCAAATAAAAGGTCCACAGTCTTTTCATGTTATATGGTAGTTTCATGATAGTGTCATGAACTGACGATGATTCATGTAGCTTACATAATGTAGGCTTGCAAAATGTAGCCAGATATAACCCCCCCCCCCCTACACAGTAGTACTACAGACATCCTTAAATTATAAGTGAACCCAGCAAAGAATTCTCTTGTTTTCTCCCCTTTTTCTCTGATGAATGAAATGAAAGTAGTTTAGTTAGATCTGTTTTATTAAGATACCTGTTGCTCCTGCCATAAATCCAGTGAACGCATATGTTCCTGGGTGCTATGTAGTGTTATCTCAAGCAGTGTTGGCAGCCCTGTCCAGACCTCCTTTGTAAACACCTGCCTTCTATGTTACAGAAACAAGTAAGAGGTGTTCTGTAGTCTTAGCCCACTTTCTCTTCTACAATGTTCCTCCATAGATGAAGGACAGTGAGTGTGGACAGAGGCTGTGTTACAGGCAGGTGAAAAATAGCCAAAAAAGGAAACGAATGAAGCTAAAACAAGTATTGTATTTGATATGCTTTAAATGTTGACTGAACTTCAAGACAACCAAGCTTTGTTACAGTGCAGAGTGAGCTGGTGGATAAGAAGGCAGAGCTCAGGGATGACTGCAGTGTTGCTGCTTCTTCACCATCCAATCACAGACTGGGGTGATCTTTGACAAAGTTGTATTGCTTTAATTCGGTAGTAAACACCGTTGATACACTTGTACCTAAAGGTAAGCTTATAATAAAGCTTACCGGTAGGTACAGGGAATATCTCCTAAACATGCAACGTTTCTGAGATATTCTCTGTTTCTGCAGCCAGTGATGTCACTAGTGCATGCAATCTAAAGGGACGGCATATTCACCTGCAGTGCATGTTTGGTGAACGCATTAAAAATATGCCCCTTGTGTATCATTAAAAACTGTGAATACATACTATATTACGTAGTGTTCATACTCACTCATTCACTAGAGCATTTGTTTTCTGCAGACTGCAAAAATCCTGGTTGATCTTGCTGTTCACTGCCCCTGTTTGTGTCCCTGCTGAAGCCTGAGATTGTGTAGAAGAGCAGTTAACATCTACTGAGCATGCTCCAGTTTAATTTCCCTATCAAGCTGTTCATTTGCTCCTTTTTCTAATCTGTGCAACCCATGTGACCAGAGAGTCACACATGCAGGTGTATACATGGTGGTAATTGACACTCCCCTCCCTCCCTCCTTCCTCTTGTCCTCATATTGCTAAACACTATGGTGGCGGGATATAATATAAAGATTGATGTAAGCTTCACCTCCCTGTTACTCCCAGCAAATACCCACCATAGACACAGGCTGGAGGGGCATGACACATTCCTATGATTGGCAGAACCTCTTCCAGATTTCCTTACAGTGTGAACAAAGGGAAAGCTATTGTCAGTCAATGTAAACTCCGCCTACACCATTTTATTGCAAAATAATAAATAAATAAATAAATAAATAACAAACATTTGTTTTGAACTATAGATTTGTATAAAGCCTTAAAACACTTTGTTTCCATTAATTATTTTTTTTAAATTTTTTTATTCTGAAAGCCATTTATATGTCATATGACTGGTACAGCACCAATCAATGCTGAGCAGCCACAGATTCATACATCAGCAGAGTACTTGAAACTCCTCCCTCAAAGCTTTCCCCGAGGACAGGAAAGACCTGGGAAACACCATGTGACCTCTGAAGAGCAACGATTAAGTAAGCTACTCAGATTATATTTTACATAAAATTAAATACAGTGACATGATCTTTATACAGAAATAGAAGGGATAATGGCAATTAAACGTTTGTTTAGTATCACTTTAAGAGAACCCAGCTGCTTTTATAATGTTGCCAGCATATTTTCAGATATTTTCCTGGCTTAATTATTTTTAACCTTGCACTAAAATCAGGATACTGCTTGAAAACAAGTCACTTATTAATTGTTAAATACATTCTAAAGTTAGCCATACGTGCAACAATTTATTTGCCTGCTGCCTGAACAAGAGAAGTCCCAAAAGATTCTTCTATCCATGGTGACTACTGTATTGAGCAGTTGGCACCCTCAGTTGCTGAGTACTTCGACCAGTGACTGTTCATGATTGAATGCAATTACTGTTCGCCTATCAATTTTGCACATGGCTCCTTAGATGAAAGTGGATGTAAAAATCTACCTTTTTGTTGAGAATGGTCATCCATGATATTGGCAGTGATCGGCTGAACCTCAAGCAGTGTATGGCCAGCTTAATTTGCTAAAAACACTGTGCATCAAAATCAAATGCCATTTTTTTCACTGTTTTTACCTTTGATTATTTTTTTCGTGCTTCTCAGTGCTGCTGATCTCCAGGCACTTCTCATCTTCATGTTCCTCCTCCAAGGTCAACTGCACATCATTGTTCTGGTCCAGCTTCCTGTTAGTGACAACAGTGGACCATTCTTGCACAGTATGTATCAGTGCAACCACATAAAATCTCAACCAGGGGTCCATGTAACAGCATGACAATGCAGGTGCATAATTTACATACAGTTGTCGCCCCATAACAAAGTGCCTGTACCTTCATGGCAGGATTATCAGGCATTCCTTCAATGAAAGATGCAGATTTAAAAAGACAAAAACAACTATTGAAAGTACATTAAAGCCCAAGTGAACCCTCATTATTTACTGCTGTAATGCAGCCGGGCTACAAACACTAATAAATATTGGGCTTAATTGTTCTTTGCTCTCACCTTTCTTACACTGATAAGTATTGCATCAAGGTTAAAGTGTAATAGATGAAATTCTATTGTTTAAAAATAACAAACATGTTATACCTACCTGGATCCTTCTTGGGTCCCCTGCCGCTGCTCCTGGCTCCCTCCTCCAGCAAGTGCTCAACATAGTGAGTCCATAGACACACAGAGTGTGACCCGACCCTGCCTTTTGCTCCCTCCTTACTGTTTGTGATTGTCAACAGCCAATGGCTGTAGTCAATGGCTCTCACTGCTGTCTCTAAGCCAAAAAGGAGGGAGAGACTCTCATGCATATCGACATCGGGCTCAAGTAAGTATAAGGGGGGCTGGGGAGGGAGGGGGAGCTACACACAAGGTTTTTTACCATAATGCACAGAATGCATTTAGGTGAAAACCCTTCGGCCTTTGGAACCATTTCAACCACTTCAAGTCTGGACACTTTCACTCCCTTCCTGCCCAGGCCAATTTTCAGCTTTCAGCGCTATCACACTTTGAATGACAATTGCGTGGTCATGCAAAGACTGTACCCATATGAATTTTTTAGCATTTTTTTGAGACAGATAAAGCTTTATTTTGGTGGTATTTATTCACCACTGGGATTTTTTTTTTTTTTGCTATATAAATGAAAGTCCAAAAATTTTGAAAAAAAAGTGTTTTTCTTAAAAAATTTTGCAAATAAATAATATTTCATCATAAACCTTAGCCAAAATGTATTCAGTTATCTTTTTAGTAAAAAAAATAACCCAAATTAGTTTATAACCAAAAATTATAATTTAAAAAAAATTTTGTTTACATTTTTATTTAATTTTTTTATATTATTTATGTTTTTTTTTTTTTACATGCTGTCACCCTAGCAGTACAGTGACACTGTACTACTTGTGGGGAGTTATGAAGATTGTTTTTGTTTTTTTTACACTGATTGCTTTTACACCCATAAAGGCTGTAAAAGCAATAATTTCTCCTTCTCTCTGACTGCATTCTTACAGCAATTGAGAAATACTGTGTGAGCTGTGATTGGTCACAGCTTGTCATATGGTACAAGGCTGTTGTGAATAGCCTTGTACCATGTGACCTCTGTGATGATTCACAGATTTCAGGAAGTGACATCTTGTTTACTACTGTTAATGTGATCACTGATTGGCCAATCAGTGATCACATGACGGGACCTTGTACAGAGGTCCCATACGATGATCGGTGTTCCACTGCGTCCGGAGGATACAGCGGGCACCGGATCGCGGTGCTGCGCACTCCCAGGGAGCGCGCACAAGCAGGGGGCAGGGAGGCTGTTTAAAAATGGCCACCCACCCCTGCACTGCCACCGTCCAACCGTTTATATACAACGGCCGGACAGGAGGTGGTTAAAGTACTCTCTGATAACAGCATGTGAGAGTTGGACCACAGCTCTCTCACACCAAACAGCATTCCAGCGCTCCAGCAGTACTTCTTCAATTAACAGTGCTGTCAAGGAAATGTGATGGACTGCTGGAGAGCTGGGGCATACCTTTATGAAAAGTCCAACTTTTCTATGCATGTAGCAATATTTTATTCCTTGATTCAGCACTTATCTGTGTAAAAAAATTAAAAGAACCCCATATTTATTACCGTATATACTCGAGTATAAGCCGAGTTTTTCAGCACATTTTTTGTGCTGAAAAACGGCCCCCCTCGGCTTATACTCGAATCAACGTCTGCAGGGGGCTGCTGTGTCTTACCTGGCTCCGGTCCCACGACGATCCGGTCCAGGAAGCGCGGCTGCTCCTTCATTCGGTTCGTCCACTGGATGTTCGCGCGGCTGCTCGGCTCTGCCTTCTCACCGGTGATTGGCCGCCAGAACTGTAGCTCAGGAAAGGCACACAGGCGGCCAATCACCGGCGAGGAGGCGGAGCTGAGCGGCCCCGCGAAAATTGAGTGAAGGAGATGCAGGTAAGTGTGCCGTGCTTAGGTGCTGCTGCAACCACATATGCTGGCTGCAGCAGCACCATACTGGAACAGGGGTCAGCAAGTGTCAGTGGGAGGAATAGTGCCCCATCATTGGTGTCACTGATACCAATGATGGGGCATTATTCCTCCCACTGACACCAACGATGGGGCACTTTTCCTCCCCCCCACTGACACCAACGATTGGGCACTATTCCTCCCCCCCCACTGACACCAATGATGGGGCACTATTCCACCCCCCACTGACACCAATCATGGAGCACTATTCCACCCCCCACTGACACCAATCATGGGATACTATTCCTCCCCCCCACTGACACCAACGATGGGGCACTTTTCCTCCCCCCCCACTGACACCAACGATGGGGCACTATTCCTCCACCCCCCCACTGACACCAATGATGGGATACTATTCCTCCCACTGACACCAATGATTGGGACACTATTCCTCCCACTGACACCAATGATGGGACACTATTCCTCCCACTGACACCAAAGATGGGGCACTATTCCACTGACACCAATAATGGGGTGCTATTCCCCCCTGATACTAATGATACTAATGATGGGGCACTATTCCTGCCACTGATACCAATGATGGGGCACTATTCCTCCCACTGACACCAATGATGGGGCGCTATTCCCCCCACTAACACCAATAATGGGGCACTATTCCTCCCACTGATACCAATGATGGGGCACTATTCCACCCACTGACACCAATGATGGGGCACTATTCCTCCCACTGATACCAATGATGGGGCACTATTCCTATACCAATGATGGGGCACTATTCCTCCCACTGACACCAATGATGGGGCACTATTCCTCCCACTGACACCAATGATGGGGCACTATTCCTCCCACTGAATGATGAGGCACGATTCTTCCCACTGGTGTTCCCACCCTCGGCTTATACTCGAGTCAATAGTTTTTCCCAGTTTTTTGTGGTAAAATTAGGTACCTCGGCTTATATTCGGGTCGGTTTATACTCGAGTATATACGGTAGGTATGTTTAGCCTGGCAGCATTACAATAATAAACAAGGAAGGGTCAATTTGGCTTTAAACATGGTAAAATTTCAAGTGATACTAAACACACACTGTTTCATTTACATTATCCCTTCTATTTCTGTATTTGTATTTTTGAAATATACAGCTGTCACATGACCTACATCTTTCCTAGCCTGTCTGCAGGGAAACAGTGGCAGGAAGAACTTCTAGTCCTCTGGTGCTGCTCACATGTTCAAAGAAAAAGAAAAACAGCCTTTGGAATACAGAGTAAAAATAAATATCAATATACAGTTTCAATTTGCATAGAAATTAATATTTGAAATTAAATCTTTATTATTTTTTGGCAATACCATGGTGTGGGCGGATTTCTTCCAGTCACAGGCTGTTACCCCCCTCCAGCCTGTTTCTTAGAATAACAGGGAAGTGATTCCTCCATTAATCTGTAATATCCTATCCCTTATGTGTTTAGCTGGTTAGTGGGCTTTGAGGAGGAAGAGGAAGGGAGTGGGCTGTCATTTACCACTGTGTATATGCCCATATGTATGACTCTATAGTCACATGGGCTGCTCAGATGTGATTGGGAGGAAATGTTCAGCACAGAAACTCACTGAAAACTGAGCATGTGCAGAGTTGCCTCTACAGCTTCAAAATCAATAGCGAATTGGGGACATGAACGGAAGGTGGAGATAGAGAGCAGCAGGATCAACCAGATTTTTTGCAGAATACAGAAAAAGAATCTCATAGTGACTGAGTATGAACAGCATTTATACAGCATTCATTGATAGTTTTTATTATGCAGGTTTAGTGACACTTTAAATAGAGTTTAAATAGAATTTATCTTCACTATAGTGACACTTGGAGACAAAAAGGCGGTATCACGTTAAACTTGGCCAAATAATCTTGCTCAGCATACTTCATGAAGTCAGATATTGTTCTGCCAGTTATTCTGGGATCCTATCCTATTGTAAGTTCTTTATATAATATTACTAATTAGCATTTTATTGTGGGTGTGGTGTTATTATTACTGGCACAGGGAAAAGCATTGTGGTTTCTGACTTGTAAATAAGGTATTTATTATTGCCAGACTATGGTGGCTTATTATGTAACTTTGGTTTTATTAAAGTGAACCTGTCAAGAGCAGTGGTTACATGTCTAACGAAGGCTCCAATTGAGCACTGAAAGTGGGGTACCTAGAGTATTTGGCAATTAAGGCAGATCATTCTTAGCCTCCATACATTGGTGGTCAGTGAAAAAGTGCCCCTTTATATAGGTGATCTGTGGCAATGGAAAGGGTTCTCTTACCCTTTACTGCTCACTGAACCTCTAACTACCTCTGGAGGAACCCTGGTTGAGAATGGCTGATCTAGGGTCTACAGCATCACACAAACTGGCATGTCTTCCTTCAGAACCAGAGTCTCTCCTGGGAGCTTAGTAATGGTAGCCTCCAGTGCTGGAAGATAGTCTGTGACCAATAAGAGCTAAAGGTTCTTTTTAAATGGTGCATAATTCCTGGTACACTAAGGCCCCGTTTACACCTATGCAGGTGCAATGGCACAAACAAAAGTTTTTGAGCAATTTTGCATGTTGCATTTTGGGCAGTCCTTTCATTTTAATGGGCCATCCTATGTGCAAAAATCACATAAACAAAGTGCATAGTTCTGTTTTTTTTTTTTTTAAATGTGCTGAACCAAAATGTATGGTAGTTTGTAACCATTCATTTTGGCTTGTGAGTTAGCAAGATGCATTGGGGAGTTATTAAGTAATAATAGCAAGTTGCAAGCTTGCAAAAAGGGATGCATGCTTTTGTGCATTTACAATATTTGTCTGATAAATGTACATTTTAAAGCGGTATTAAACTCTACAATAAAAAAATGCACCATATACACTCTTAACTCATTCCTGGCATCTGTAAAATGCCAGGAATTAGCCAGGTAACTCCTGTGTGCAAGCATTATTGGAGGGCACCCAATGGCCAAAGAGGATTCCTGGGAGCCTGTAAGCAGAGACAGGTGAGATGGCGATGAAGGCGGGAGACAGAATGTGCTGGAGAAGATCACATTTGCTAAGTTAGATATGCCATAATGTGCAAGTATACTGTGCATAGTTGCACAAATTGGCAAAAGCCAAAGCAGCACACAACAGTTTAATACAGCTTTAAAGCATTTTGTTATATATATATATACAGTAAGTGCAAATACTTCTTGATCTTGACAGAAATTCAAAGCTGTCCTATGTCATGTGCACACTTCCTATGTCATCTCAAGGAGTCTAACTGTCCCTCCCCCCAGTTCTTATAGTAACCTACAGAAAAATTCTCACCTATGCTATGGAGATGAGGAGAGGGGGAGGGATTCAGTAGTTTACAAATATACAGCTAGACGATGTTTCTTGTGATTTCGGTCTAGAAAAAAGCACGTGTCAGCTAAGAACAGAAAATCAGGAGCTGAATTAATTTTTGGCAAATTAACTAAGTCAATTGGCAAAGTACTCGACTCGTTTATTTTAAAACAGAAGTTCAAGATTTAAAAAAAATAAACATTCATACTCACCTAGGTGGATGCAACATCTGTGCCCTGCTGCCTCCATCACTGAGAACTGAGAGATCAAAGACTGCTGCTCGCTCAGCTCTCATTCTTTAGCCTGCAGAGAGGAGGAAAACTGACGGGCTAGGGGTCTGGGTGGATCCTGACATTAAAGTGATGCCAGCTGATGCCAGCTGACAGCAGATTTTAGCCCGCTGTCAGCTGAATATGAGTCACAGGAGTGCAGAACGATCCCAGGGGGCATAGGGCCAAAAGAGGCTTACTTCTCCTTTACGATTCCACCATTGCATATGTTTTTATGTATCTTGTAAATGAGTGGGTAGGCAAAAACAAATATAGTCTATAAAGGCTTGTTCACACCAGCCCACGCGCTAAGACATTGCGTGCTGTTGTGTAAAGGGTGGTACATTGCATTCTCACAATACATTGTCTGGTTTACTTTTTCTTTTTTTTACTTTACTGAAGTGTCACAAAATCATACTTCCTTCAAGTCTATGCACCACAGTGCTATGTGAACAGCTGCAGTGACATGCAGTGCATTGAGCTGTGCAACATTTCAACATTTAGTTACATTACAAGAATGGTTTGCTTTTTATAAA